TGTATAATATGTAAATAAAATGAATTAAAAAATAAAAAATATTTTTTAGTATATAATTTAATATAAAAAAGACAAAAAAATAATGTTTAACGAATAAGAGAATCAACGATTTGTTGATTCGAATAAAAAGAATTTGATTATTTTTAAATAAGATTTTAAATTTGAGTCTTTTGAAAAAAAAAATAAATGCTAGGAGGGATTTCCTCGAATGAGATTCAACGTAATTCGATTTCAGATTAATTAAGATTCAATATGATTATCGGATATAAAATAATTAATAAAAAAATAAAAAAAAAAACTAAAAATTCAAAATTCAAAAATCAAAAAACTAGATATAATCATATCCCATAAAAGTCACGAGAGAACATGACGAGTAATGATGGACTCTTTCCTGGAAGGGCATGTACTTATTAATATGCTTCAAATATGATCATGAGATTATTATAAAACAATAACATGCATTTATAAGTTTGAGACGTCTAATACCATAATTAATCATTGAAGCCAAATCGTGTAAGACACTGAGACACTTCCTTTTTTTTCCTTTGCTAAAATGATTTTTTTTTCGTCAAATGTGGAATCTTGAAAAAAAAGGTAAAATCATGTTGAAAAAAGTCTATAATTTGAAGAATCCCCGCCTTTTCCGCCATGGATTTAGCTAAACTTTTTTCTTCATTTGATTGATGTGAACTTTTTCGCCATGTACCCACGCAGGTAAATATTTTTTAAGTTCTGATTTTTTTATATTTAGTATATTTAATTATAAATTATATAAAAATTAATAATTTTTTTGTTTTTAAATTTTTTTTTTACTTTATTCAAAATTTAAATATAAAATTTTAAAATTTTAACCAATTAAATTATGAGGTTTGGATTTTTTTTTTCCTTTTAAACAAAAAAGAAAATGGAAAATAAATGAAGATACCAAAAGATAAGTGCTACATTACTACGCGCACTCGTGTTCGATTGCACAAGCACTTTTTTCTTTTATTATATAGTTTTATTTATTTTTTATATATTTTAAAATTAAAAAATTATATTCAAGTCAAACAAAACTTGAGTGTTAATTATTTGTTGAGTACAATTAATATTTTTTAATATTAAATAAAATAATAAAATAATATTATTTTTAAATTAAATATTCTTAATATTTATTGAGAATTATTTAATATAGTTTTCTAAACACGAAAGTAATTTTATAGCATGTTCAAATTTGATTGGGTTTAATTAAATCTTTTGTTTTATTTTTTGTGTTTTACTCTCAAGATTTTACTTCATATTTTTTGTTTTAATTAGTAAGTGATTGTCATATTATGAGACCTGTTATATAAAAAAACAAAAACTACTTGACAAAAAATTTCAAGTGTGAGACACCAAAGTGATGAAACCAACTTTTAGTATTAAAAATGTTATCTAATACTTGGTAAAAGGGAAAAACCTTATTTGTTGACAAAGAAAAAATAAAAAAAAGAAAGGTAAAAGGAAAAAATGATGCTTGGTAGATTCCCGGGACAAAATCATGGTCGTCTCAATGTTCAAAGGTGATTTTTGAGTGTGTTAAGGAAACGGAAATTTTAAATCTTATCACAAAATTATATAGTCATCTTTTCACAAAGAAAGTGGCCCCGATGAAAAATAAATATATTACAAACTTGTATATGTTTATGTTCAAACTATATAAATCAGTTTGGATTGAAATTTAATTTTTAAATTTTTATTTTTATAATTAAACTTTTAATAACGATATAATTTGGATTATGTAAATAATGATTGAATTTTTTTCCATTTAATAAGAATATATGAACCAATATATATAGTCATTTCAATAATATATTTTGATAAATGAAGAGATATTTTTTTAAGTCAAATTATATAATAAAAATGTAATTCAATTTATAAATTCACTAAATAATCTCAATAAAATTCTTTTTATATATTATTTAATTAATATCATTTTAATAATTTTAATACTCAAAACTTTACTTTAAAAACATTAATGTCTTAAAAGAAAATTATTCTTTCACGTATCGTTTAATAATTAAATA